GTTAAACAGGCTAGATTCTCTGACCTGCTCCAGTCTTTTGCAGCAGTATATGAGATTATAGACACGCTACCTTTTGTTAGCTGAAAGTAGTGCAGGGAAGAACTGATGCAAACATCTCTAGATCTGCATCTCTTCTGCTGCCTCTGCTGAAATCCCTGCTATTGATGGAATAGAAAGAATGCAGGTGGGGACTGGGGTCTATTTTTGGCACCATCTTCCCCACCAACACCTGTCCAGCTGTGATTTCGCCATATAATAATGAGTTTAGGTAAAAACTGAAGGTCTTGGGGTAAGAAAGAGTGGACAGAGTAATGCCTGAAGAGGAATGCATTGTTTCTTCTTTCTAGTGTTACAGAAAATATTTTCTCCTTTGCAACATCCCCCAATGGGTAAATGCAAGGACAAGACTGAATAAGAATTGCTTTAGTGGGTGATCTGGCTGGAAATGCCTCAGCCACTTTGTCCAGGTTCTGCACGGGTGGCAAAGGTCTTCCACACAGTCCCCCAGGATATGCCAAAGTTTGGACAGGAACAACATCCATTTTTGTAGAGCGCGAAACGAAAATAAGATGCGCTCTCTGGGTATTTTTCCCATTGATCCTAGAAACATAAACTTGGACAAAACCTAAAAGGTCTTACACAGACAGAGCTCTCAGTAAACGGTGCAGGGGATTTGCCTCAGTAAAGACTTCAGAAATTGGCATTTCTTTGTTGTGTGATGATTCTGCTAAAAGCAAAGGCGTTTACAATGTTTTACAACTGATATGGTAGTACCTGTCACCAATAATGAACTTTTTCTTCAAAATACGTAAATTAAAAGTTTCAGATTGGTGTGAATGATTAATAACAATCATGTAACATGTGAATTTTTTTTTTACACAGTAGTAGTCTCCCGACAATTTACTCCAGTTCCTCAAGTAAGATTTGTAATGGCTCTAGATCCTTTGACAAAGTTAGACTCAGTATTTATGTTTATTTAGTGATAGAGCAGACAGGTCGTTTCTTATGCAAGACATCAGCAGGGACCTTTGCATGCCTCTCCCATCACTGCATTTTGCAGAACAGTTTTACTTAGAGCCTTAGCCTGTGATTCATTTCGCATCCCCATTCCCCAATGAGATCATTTGTTGTACGTTTGATTTACCAGCAGCAAAGCAGGCTTTGTGTCTTTTAGTATCTCAGACATGTCTGGATAGATTAGAATAGTAACCTATAGTTGCAATTTCTACTGAACGGTTTTAGATTTCAGAATACTGCGAGCACGATATAATTGATCACACATAGCATGTTGGCCTGCTTGTCTCTTTTGGGATGTAAGGGGCAATCACTGGAGTCTGGATCTCAGGGAAAGGGGAGGAGGTCAGATGTTAAAAATGAAATTGTAGCAGTTCTACTGCCAAGGCAGAGCGAGGCAATGCAGTAAAACCAAGCCTGTGCAAAATTATCTCCCTGTAGATTAGTGCAATATGGATAATATATGTTACCTTTCTAAGCAGGAAAGATGTAGCACCTTCCTCTTCTAGCCCAAGTTCTAGTCCAAAGCTAGACAAACACAAGCAAGACAGCAGGACAGCGCTTGTCAGCAGGACAGCTAAAACAGCTTCGTTGTGACCTGGACCTCACTCTGTCCCATAGGTTGCTCACAGGGCCTGTCTCTCATCCTCCAAAGAAGGAAAAGCTACTTTCTACCTAAATGTTTCAGGTGAAAGCCTGGGTCAACAAACAGTTGAATGTTAATGTCCTCATAAACCAAATTCACTTGGATTATTTAGGATCAAGGGGTGTTAAACAGGTGCCATCTCTGCCGTGCGAAGACCCGGCACTGCTGCTTGCCAGAGCCTGGGCTGATAAACCACGTGAGCAACTGGTCCACACTTGCTCGGTTTCTTATGCTCGTCCATAAGCGGCTTCTGTTGGCCAGAGGATACAGGCTGCTGGTCTGGCGCAATATGACCATGCATATGTTCTCAGTTGGGAAGTTACGTTTCTGTTCAGGCTCTTGCTTTATCTCCTGTTGAGGGACATCAAATGCGAGGTGGTAGCAACCAAAAGGTAGTTCCATTTTAAATACGGCCGTAGCGGGACTGCTCTTCACACCCATAAAATAAGATGCCAGCAGAAGAGGGGGCTCAACGTTTAGCTTTGCAAGGGGGGGAAGGATGCCTGTTCCCAGTGCAAGCAGCAGGAGCAAAGCGAGGGCATTAACGATGTGTGGAGACAGGTCGGTTCAGTTCTTCTGCGATTTTTCCGGATGCGTGAGTTTGAGTCTCACCTGGTCTATTGCCCTGCCACTTCTCTTGTGCTGAAAAGAGGGCACGGTGTCATTTAAACTGGTGATTCAGAGGCAGCCGGGTATGATGCTAAAAACCTCTCTCTGCGGTGTAGAAATTGTCATGGCTGATGGCTCAGGGTGACCTTTTATCTTGACTTTGTTCGCACCTTTTAAAATGCAGCAAAGGCTTCTACATTGATTCAGGGAAGATACTGTAAGCCTAAAACACAAATCTCACCTTCTGCTAGGTGCAACGTAAGAAATTTCAAAGCTCAGGATGTTTTGGAATTTGCCAAAACCATGGCAAAGGTGTTTCTGTTGGTTTTGTATGTGTTAGATGTTGGCATCGCTCTTGTTCTAGGAAAGGCCCATAAACATAAGCACTTGCTTTTATCACGGTGAAATCAGTGAAAAGCATGTCTTTGGTTAATTATCTGCACCATTGGGCACCGCAGTCATAAGGCTCCTACGGAAGAGGAGGATCTTCTGAAACTACTTGCTAATTCTGTTTCTCAGTCTTTCCATTTCAGATAACATTTTTCCTTAGCATAGAGATTTACATTTTTCTTAAAAAAATTGCATTTTGCCTTCGGTTCTGGAACCTGCTTGGCTTTCCAGAGAAGGCAAACGGTGTGCTGCGCATAGACTCACAGGGATCAAATGTTAGCTCTTAGTGTGATATCATCTTCTGCACATTTTTATATTATTGCAGTTCATAACACTGCGCCACAAGATGGAAAACAGTAAAAGCCTCTTTATTTATAAGGTTATTACAGGTATCCTCCAGTGTATCTCATGTGTATACATCCTGTCAAAATATTTCAGGATTTTGACAACAGTGCCTGAACTTGTTTCAAGTGACATGACATGGCTTTTAACTGTGGGGTTTTTTACAGTTTCGGTGTTTTTAAGAATAGCTAATAAAAGTGTTACCCATGCACTAAAAAAATAGACAATCCCTTGGTGAACAAAAAGGCTTAAATACGAGTTAGTTGAGTTTTGCAGTTAAAGAACCTGTACAGGAAATTATTATGATGTTCTCTATAATTGCTGGAAAAAAAAGGTCTTGAAGTCTATGGAAGGCGTAACAGACCTAATTAATGCCCACACTGTTTCTCCAGAGGAACAGATTTTGTGTAATGTAAATGCGCTGCATAGGAAATGTTCTTGTGCTTATTTTATAGTTTGCCCTTATTTTTTCCTGGAACAGCTGTAGTGTACGGTATTTTACAATGTGATGCGTACCTGTCTTCAGAATTGCAAGTTGTATTATCATTTCTGAAATGTGAAAAACAATTATATATGTCCTGTGGTTTTTAAGTATCCATGCCAATTATGATGCAAGGTGTGTTTTCATGTCCAAGGAGCGTGGGTGTGTTTGGGCACGTGCACACATTCATGTTCTAAAATAGGCGGCTGTTTCAATAGCTGCGTTCATTATGTGTGTGTGTAAGCGTAGGCATTATCAGGAGCATTCTTTTTAGCTTTTAGAATAAAAGCTGAATCAGAGGCTGTAAACACTGACACATCTGGAATTTCAGAGCATTTCCAGGTTCCAGTACAATTAATGGTACTCCACCAACTCTGCCCCTTGTCACTGATGGATGATTAGCGTTTAGCTAATGAGAAGGTGTTCAGAGGAGAGTCAGGGATTTTTTTATTCACTTGTCAGTTTGGTTGGGGATCTCTGTGGGTTTAAATCTGAGTTAACATCCACAGAACGGTGCAGAAGACTCTGTGTAAATGGTCAGACTGTTCTCTGCTGTCAGTAGTTTTGTGTTTACACGTTAAGCTCTGCAGGTCAGGGATCATTGCTTTATACGTTTATAAAGCTCTATTGCTATCTGTGTTTCTAAAGCATCTGAAATAAAGTGGCGTGGCCTCCCAGTGCCACTGAATGGCAAATGGTGATTAGCAGGAGGGGACTGTTCTGTTCTCTGCCTGGCAATACTCGCCCATACTAACAGGTCAGCTTCACGGGTGCTGTTTGCTGAGATGCTTTCGTTGGAACCAGGTTCTTCTCAGGGTATCCAGTGAAACGCCAAGAGGCAATGGGCACAAACTGGAACACAGGAAATTCTGTTTGAATATAAGTGCTGCAAGGGAGACTGAACACTGGACCAGGTTGCCCGGAGAGGTTGTGTAGTCTCTGTCTTTGGAGATATTCAAATCCCGACTGGATACGGTCTTGGGTAGCCTCCTCTAGTTGACCCTTCTCTGAGCTGGGAGGTTGGACAAGACAATCTCTAGAGATGCCTTGCAACCTCAGCAAGTCTGTGGTTCTGTGATTTGCTTGACTGGAGCCTAACTGGGTATGTCTGTGCTTCCTGAAGAGAGCAGGCTGGGGATACCAGTGGCTATCTACAGGCAAAGGGCTGAGCGTAACGTGGTTTGCCAGTGTGCTTGGCATGCTCAGCATCAGCGCCCCGGAAGGCATGCTTGGGGCTGGGCTTGCAGGCTTACTTCTGAACAGCCTTCAGGTCTGGCCTAAGGGCTGCCATTAGGAAACCTAGCCGTAACTAGTGTTATTGAGTCCTTTTTTTCCTGAACTGCAGTGGTGGTATCATGACATAGGATTAAGCAGCCAATTAATATCCTGAATTCTTGTAGTTCTGTCCCAGTGACGTTGCAGGAAATGTCATGTGATAATCAATTAAGTCCAAAGAGCTTGCTAATTCCATCTGCTCCTCTGCCAGGATGTTGCTTATAACTGACTTACATTTCATAGGTGTGCAGTGCAATCCAGAATCAAGATTTCACTGTTATTGATGACTACTGCACTGGACTGCAAGCTCTTCTTTACCTGAAAAGCATTGAGGAACTTGGAGACTGGGATGGACAGAGTCCTGCAACCATGCAGCATCAGAAAGGAAAAGCAGTACCTAGAATTGCTGATCTGATGGGAAAGGTACGTTGTTTCCTTGCCATTCCTGTATAATGACACTGTGTCTGGGCTTTGAATGCAATTCCATAATCCTTGTATGCTACTTACCTTGGTTAACCACTGCTGCTGTCACAATTAGTCACCACGTCTTTTTCCTTCTGAGTATTAACAAATATCTGAAGGCAGCTTAAGAAGGCAAACTTGAAATGACTCGATATGGGTTAACGTTTGTACTATAAATATGATCTCTCCATTTGATTCGTAGCATCATGTCTTTAAAAAATAGCGTAGGATGTAAAATTACAAATGCTTTGGAACACGCTCTGGAACTGCTTGTTTTAATGAAACTCAACTCAATTCAGATTGATACTAATATTGTGCCAGAGGTTCCTGGGTGTTCCAGGCAGGGTGCAACATTCAGGAGACATGAAAACCCCCTAGCACTGGACCTGACCGGCTGAGACATCTTGTCACAAACCGGCTGTTAGTTGGAACGCTAGGTCAGGTAGGAGCGGCCCTTCGATCACCATACCTGAGCATCTCACGGTCCTTCATGTGTGCCGAGTCCCAAACCCTCTGCAAGGTAGGGAAGTTCCAGGTGAGGAACAGTGACACCGAATAATTCCGCAAGATCATTTAAACCTAGAAAGGCTGTGGTGGAATAGGAATGTAAACTGTGGTATCTCTGAAATTCAAACCTCTGGACTGTCTTTCCTCTCTGCTCTGGTAGTTCCCTGCTACAGAAGCATCTGTGGAGATCTTTTTGCCTGATGCAGTGGGTTGCAGCTGCCCCAGTACTGCTCACCCCTCCACCAGCACGCCGGCTGATCCGTGCTGGGAAGCAGGGGGGTGTAACTGGCTTGCTACTGATGCCCCGCTGCCTCCTGCTCTCAGCAAAAAATACCTGCACAGCAGGGAGGCTGAGCTTTTGTTTGTGGATACTAGAGGGGATCACTTTGAAGACTGATTTCAGTTATACATCGAGCCTATTGATTACCTTTCCAAAAATCTGATATAACGCTGTTGAAAATGTTGTAAAAAGTAAAGAATTACAAAAGAATGGGATTTGGAGTGTCAAACGCCTCCAAATCTCTGCTTATCGTGGCTGATGACTGGAGTTGGATTTAGCCGGAGATTACAGACTCCTATATTGTTGTTGTTCTCTGTGGAGCTCTGAAAATTATAACATTACCTTCCAGGACAAAAGACAATCCTGTTCCTAAAGCTCTGGATAATACGCTGCTTAAAAATAAAACAAGATATAAGCAGTTTCATTTTCATCTGCTTATGTTAAGCAGTTAAACCAGGCTCAAAGGGTTATATCGAAACTTCCGTCCTTTAACACCTGTAGAAACGTACACAGCATTTCCAACTCGTGTCACAGAGATTTCTTGTAATTCTTCTTTAAAGCTGCATTCAGTGTTCTATCTTTGTATTACCTTTCTATTTTACTAAACAGACAACCATTGTCAAAGATGTTTCTCATGTCCTTTTGAATGAGGAAAAAAAAAATTATATAATTCTTAGTCTTTTCCGCTTGTCACTACATCAATAATTAACTTTAAAAAGGTAACGTGAAAAGATGCTTTAAGGAAGCATTTAATAATTCAAAGGAATCTTAACTTGAAACAGGTCACATGAAAAAGAATGCAAAACAAAGCCCTATGTAATCTTGTCTGGCTGGCTCTGTTAGACATTTAAAAGGAACAAGGCATACAGAATATGACTGATTGTGTATTTGATTGCTCTTAGCACTGAATTATATCATTGGATCACTGCTACTAAATAATAACATCTAAAGTTAACCAGGCTGCATCATTGATAAGGTGGTGATGTATTTTAGGCATAAGCTCTGTATGGCTGTTTGTCCAGGAATGAACATTCAAAGGAAAAGGAAGAAAAATAATACAACACGAGTAAAGGGAAATACCATGATAAATGATCCTACTAGGGGCAATCAAATACAAAGGCTTGATATCATTAATATTTATAATATCATAATTAGCAAGACTGTGCCTAAGCAGTGTTATTAGTGTAACTAATTATGTTATCATAAACTAAGTTTGCAGTGTTATAGGAATCGGTATTCTTACCTTCATAAATTATTACCAATATTGGATTTCATGTACTTGTGCCTAGTAAATTTAGTTAAGTACTGTAGTTTCATCTAGGTTCAAACACAAATATCTAGCTTGCTTGGCAGCAAGTCACAACACACACTTCTGATTCTCTTTCTAAAATAAATTCACTAAAAAGCATGTCCTTACTCTCTATTTGGAAGAGAGAAGATAGCCAGTTGATGTGATGTACATGTTCTCATCAATAAAAGTAATGTGTGAGAATGTCTGTGTTATACATGGAGTAAAATGTGACAGCCAAAATCCTGCATTATGATTTTAAAAACTTACAAGGAGCTGTCCAAGTTTGTCTTGGTATTACTGTGAGATGAAAGGCAGTTTCTTCAGTAAGACCTCGTGAGAAGCTAAACAGCAAATACTTTGCAGTCAAAAAAAGAAGTGAAGATGCTAATTTCATATGTTGGGTTTTTGGTGCAGTAAATGTGAAAACATAAAGGAATCGTCCTTCATTTTGTTACAAAATTCCTGTTAATTTTGATAGAGAATCGCGGGGATAAGTAGTTCAGGCAATTGACAATTTAATGAGAAGGAACTGAGGGACAAGAATTTTTTTTGACAGCATCAAGAACCGCTTGCCTTCTGATTCAAATTCATTGAGCCCCTCCCACTTTTGACTCTATTACAGAGTTAGGACTGGTCCTATTCCCAGCGAAGTATGTTCATAATAATACCTATTTTGATTCGCAGTGCAATATTGAACGTTAATGTCCGTGTTTTTATACAGCAGCGCACTATTCTTCTGATAATTCATTTTCTGTCCTGGTTTCAGCATCAAACAGATGCTGAGGGCAGGGTGTTGCCACAGGAGAGTGACACAGTAGAGTTTTGTCATGAAACATTGTAGTATTTGATGACCAGAGTAAACTAAAAGATAAATACTTTCTTCTCAGTGGTACACCTGACATCAAACTGAAGCTGTCTTGCCAATCGGTCACCAGGAAAATGACAAACTGAGCAGTTAGCACTGTCAGTTGTTACATTTATCGCAATAATTTCCTTCCTAAACAGAAAGAAAACTAAAAATACTGTGCTAAATAGTGTGATATAATAAGCAGTTTAATAGCAAACATATCAACTTCTGGCTGAAAAAGACAGTCGTGTTGGTTAGTACCTGTTCATGCTTCTGCATTAATGAAACTAATACTTTCATCTGATAATTTATAGCCCTTAACATATGAGAAGCATCATAGCACTGGAAAATATTTTGGAAACTTGAGTGCTGTTTTTACATTTTTCACTGTTGCAGAATGCATGTTTTGGTACACAGACCTTAAATTTATCACCTTTGAGCTAGCTAGGAGATATTTTCCGATAGTCTTTTCAACCACGCTAGCTTTTTCCCTTTTGCTAACGCAGCAGTTGCTGCTGGAGTCAATCCTTGCTGTTGTCCAAGGTGTGACCTGTGGTACTACGCTGCCTGGAATAGCAGTGAGATTCCGGCTTAGAAATGCTAACCTCAGTCGTGGCTTCCAGTCACCGGGTGATCCTGTTTTCCAGAGCTCCAGCAATTTTATTCATTCTTACCTGTGGCTGTAGCCTTATCCAGAACCGCTCCAAAGGCAGTCCTGGCACAGATGGTGCATCAGACTCACAAAGGTGGACAAAGCCAGTCTTCTGGGCTTCCTTCCTCGTTTTTCTGATGGCTTATTTAGTTGTTGTTTTTTTTTCTGTGGGAGGACCTGAGATTTGAAGCCTCGGCGCAGAGGACTGTCATTAATATCCTCTCTGAACCACCTTTCCGTTAAATGCGTGGAATAAAACTTGTCGGCTTGTCTCAGCTGTAATCTCAGCTTGCAAATCTCGATGCTGAGGTGGGAGAATGGCAAGGGAATGATGACACCACGCTGCTTCTCACTGGCTCCCTCGAGGAAGAACTTTTGTAAAAGCACGCTTACCTCAGCATGCATTTTGGACGGAGATCAAGTGCATGATGCGATCAGGCAGACAGTTAAGATGTAGAGCGTGCTTTTGCAACCCGAAGTTATTAGGGTGGCTGCATAAGAGAGAGGGAGAGCGCAGGTAGTATCCTTATAATCCAGAATTAACAGAATTATGTTTTAAAATAACGTTGCTGAGTTTCTCAGGAAGATACGTGAGCAGGAGCCATAAAGATAACTCAGTTCTCACTGGGTATAACTGGATAAGGTACAGCATTCCCCAGAGGTGTGATTTGATCTCCTGTGTGTAGCCACTGTCTCACCTTGTCTGCTTCTTACAGGACTCTTTTATTAGGTGCTCCCCAGTCTTGCTCCAGAGAGCTGAAGTGATTATTATGTCCCAGAAATGCATTGGTGTCAGCTGGTGGGTCACAGAAGTGGTGTCGTGGTTTTCCATATAAACTTCTACCTAATGCCAGCTATAAAAATCAGAGTTAACGCAGTGGCCTCTATACGTGCCAGGTAGCTAAACATTAACAGTATGGCAGTGGATTCAGTGGGTAGGTGTGGGTTTACAGGAAGAGAGAAATATATATGGATGTTTCATACCTTGCTTTCAGCACCAGAAGTTTTACAAAAACTGTTTGATCATGTCTAAAGGTTAAAAAGTTAAAAAGAAGAAAAAGTCGTAATTTAAGCATCTTGATTCCAGAAATACCCAAACCCCAAAACAAACTAATTTTCATCGTGGATCCTCCTCAACAGTTAAGGTTGTGCTGTATTGAAAATGTTAAAACTAGATCTGATAAAAACACATTTATAGCACGTGGTTTTCTCCAGCAGACAGATGAGAGAGAATGATCCTGAACACGCACAATGTATGAACTTCAGGGAAAATTCTCGTCACATTAAATTTAGCAAGCTGCTGATTTTGTTCTCCGAATGCATGGGCTTCCTATTAAGACTAAAATACGCACTTCCTTCCAGTATCTATGGGTACTAAGAGCTG